GCTCTCGGAGCGTTTCTCTTGCCCGACGGCTCCAGCACACATCCCTCCCGGACGGATTTTACGCGCGTCGGTTTTGACCCGAAAGCTGCCCCGCGGGAGGATTCGCTGCACCGGGCTGGGTCGGGGGCACTGGGGTAAACGCCGCTGCGCTGGTGCCCTGCGGCCGGATGCCTCCAAAGGCGCTTTACAGCCCGGGTGCTTGTGGGCAACAGGGACGCAGGAGACACCTGAGGGAGGTGGACTCGGCCTTTAAGACTTCACAAGCCCGGGGCATGTGCTAGGCGATATTTGTGAGGAAATTTTCCGAGATGCTGGTATAGAACAGAGCCTGTGAGAAGAACCGATTCTGTGACCCCGTCCTCCACGGCGCGAGGGAGGCTGGGGGGGAGCGGCCAGGGCACGGTTTCATGGGGGATGTACAAATGTTTGTGGAGGTGAGGCAGAGAGCCAGATCCCGCACATCACTTGGTACTTGGCTTGGTGGAAGACGTGGACGCAGCACTAACCAGGCAACGGCATCGCGTCTCCCGCATCAGTGTTTTTGCTGCTTTTCTCTTTCCGTCACTTTATCGCTTTTTACGCTAGCACTTCCCAGTTCCTCTGAGGCACCAGATGTCTTTTGTCCCAGGTGGTTTGAGTGACAAACACAGTCACATCTAGAGTGGTTTTCAGCCTCCACTTAGCTTTGAAGATGCTTCCATTTGAAGCCTGAGGAGAGTGTATGTGAATGAAAAACACCATTGTTGGTGCTGCTTTCTCCAGATATATTTGCTAGTCTAATAAAAGGTATGACCTCACTCAATAAATCCTCATTTTTGCTTCCTCTCCTACCAAAACAAGCTGCATTTTGTGTAGGATTTTCCAGAGGAATCACTTCAAAGATTGGCAGTGGTTGCTTCTGCCAGTGCAGGCACGTTTTGCAGGTTTATGGTCTTGTGTCCCAAAGTCAATTACTTTTAGAAGGGCATGGCTTTTTCTAGCTCCAGGTGAGGTTTGCCTTCACCGACTGCTTGGGAGTGGGGGAGTGGTTTGGGGCCGAAAGAACTCAGCCATCCGTTTTCAAAGAGGGAAGAGGCCAACAGAAGAGACAAGAAAAGGTTAGTGTGGCTTTTGTGCACAATATAAAAAGCAAGTCAATACCATTGTAGGGGCATTGGAGGGTACTCAAAGCAATCAGTCAGGGGCCATTGTGTTCCCGTAATCTACATGTGTATTTCCCAAGAACTCTATTAGTGAAGATGAATGAACTGTGCAATGTCCCTAATTTCTTCTAATTTGGAGCTGGGGTTTTACAGCAGTCACAACCAACACAAAACATGCCCGTCCTTCCAGAAACCCTGGCAAATTTGGGAATAATTTTTGCTTGTAGAAGAAGGATAGCAAGGTGAGACGAAGGTGCAAACCCCTTTAGTCAGTGCCATGAAGGGCACTGGATTCTGGCACAGATGCTGCTGTTAGGGTGTCTGTCAAAATCGCAGTTACAGGGGCAAGGCTCAATTTTTTGCTGTTAATCACAGTGTGAGTGTTCAGCAGAATAACCTTCCACCCTTGAAGCAGGGTGCATGAGTCCCACACAGGACACAAGAGACCTTCCTCCCTAACAGAGAAGGATCCTCTTTCCTCAGCAGTAGACTACTACAGCTGTATTTTCCATACATTTGTCACGGGAGCATCCTTCTTGCAGGGGAGTGGAGCTGTTGAAAGAGGAAGCAACTCCCTTGGTCCCGATTTGAAAAAAATGCCTGAAAAAAACCCATAACCCTGTAGCAGAGCAGAGAGAGCTCTGACTCTCCCAGCTCCAAATCTGTCTTTTCTCTCTTGCCACACTCGAGGCACAGGCAGGCATGTGAGGCAGCACAGTGCTGCGGGGAGGGAGGAAGTCTAATGGTTCTCTGGTAACAGAATTTAGAATGATGAAGAAAGGTAACTGAACAGTTCCCTTTGGGTCTAACGTCCTGGCTGTCAGTTGAATCCCTTGCTACCACAGAGTCCCCTGGGACCTGTGTCATGTTAGTATGAAGCCTCAGAAACTTATCTATGGTACATCACAGCCTCGCAAAGACTGTTTACTTTTGGGTGTTTACAGGGGCAATCAGAATAAAATTTGAGTATTCCTTAGAGGCTGAAAGGGACAGGATTTGTTACTTGCCTTTCCAAGAGATACTCCCCGTTCCATCAGCTTTTTTATTTTTTGGCAATATATTATTATAATTACTGCTGCAGTTATGCTTGGAAACTAGCAAAAGTTCTCAAGATGGACAGTCTCTAAAGTACAGCTGTCTGCTATACCTCCTTCCTGCACATGCATATAAAGACTAAATGGGAACAGTTTTCATCCTGCTGGTGCTGTTGAGACATATGTATGGGACGTGGCTTCACACAATGAAATCAGCACCATGACATGCCACAGATTCTTCCTTTGCTCCTGCCTTTTCCTTATATCAAGCTGAAATAATTACTGCCTTGACAGGGCAGACATTTGAAGCTGAAGTCACACTGCAGGTGGGACATCACTCTCTGGACCAGAGATGTGCAGCAGGGAGCACCTCCCTGAAAGATAAATGGGGCTTCCAGGGTCACACAGCAAATCAACAGCAAACCCAGAAGTCCTCCTGCAGTTTGCATACTCTGTATAATCCAACAGATTGTTCCAAACTGGAAAAAAAGGCTTTGCTTTTTTGCTCCCCGGAAATTCCTAGGTGTGCAGTTTAAGACCCTTCTGGAAAGCACAGTGCCCAAGGAAGCTGCTGTCACTGCATTGCTTTTTTTTTTTTCTGGTGAGATTTTTCTTTATCTGCCCCAGGAGAGTCAGTTGTGTTTTCTCCATGGACAAAGTGCTCTTTGGCATGCAGGAATCGCACAGAGAGAGCCTGCTGCCCCTTGGCATGCAGGAATTGCACAGAGAGAGCCTGCTGCCTTGGTGCCTGTCTGGGCTGTGGGTGTGGGATAGGCTGTGGCTGCTCTGGGAGCTGGGCAGCCTTTTCTGGTGGGAGCACCATGGGCTGGGTGCGAGGGCTCCCACATTCAGGCTCGCCGTGCTCAGCCATCCCTCCAGAGGGAGGGAGTGGAGGTTCATGCTATAAGGCTATATTAATGCAATCCTTCTTTACTTGTTTTCCAATTAGCCTAATTGAATTCAGATTGCTTAAAAGTGGGCACTAGAGACATTTATCTTGATGGGATGACGGCCTTGAGCTCCAGCGATCCTATTAACTATAAGAACCCAAATCCCAGGTAGGGTCCATCCAGCAGTAGCTCCCATGTGACCTAACAATTTAATCTGCTCCTCTTCTGTCCAGCACACACACAGACACACAGACGTGTCCATGTCCACGCTCACACGTGCATAGGTGCGTGCACACATGTACACGTGTGTTTGTGCACGCGTAGGGACACGAGCACATGCCCAAACACACACATGTGCACATGCACACACATGCAGTGGCTATGCCTTAAGGCTCCAGCAGCCTTAGGAGAAAGGTTTAGTGCAAGACATTGGAGAAGAACATTGGAGAAAGACACTGGAGGAAGACCTTTTTTCCCTTTTCTTGCCAGCTGGAGCAGAGTGAGCGTGCAGCCTGCCTGCCTGCACACCCTGCTCCAGGCTCCCCTGGGACCTGTCCCCAGGGACAAACACCTGGAGAGCTGCATGCCCAGTGCCATGTACCCTGGTGGCCCTGCACCTCCTGCCCCCGTGCCTGCCCAGCCTGCTCTGGTGTCTGAGGACAGGGAGAGCCGGTGCTGAGGGATGAGCCCTGCGGGTGCTGGCAGGGAGCAGGCAGCCACCTCCAGCAGGGTGAGGATCAGGCTCCTGCTGAGGGCAGATTTGCTGCTCTGCCCTGGCCATCATAACACCCTGCACAAGGGTTCTCAGGGAGAGCTGGGCCAACGGTGCTGGGTCATCCCCTGCCTCTGGAGCCAGGCCCCACTGTACCCAGTGTACCCCACTGCTCCAGTGCCCAGCCCGATGCCACCCCGGGGCAGGTGCAGGCCTTGGCTCCAGCACTCCAAGGAGTGTGGGATCAGAAAGTGATACCTTCTGCCAAGCAGCCCTGCTCTGCCACTGCAGACTGAGGGGGTGTGAGTCTGTGCTCTAACGGTGGTGCCTAGGGCAGCCCACTGCCCTGACAGCAGCACTGCACTGGGGCTGCACAGGGCTCCCATTCCACACAGCCACCCCTCAGTCCTGCTTGCCTCTGCCAGCCCTGACATTTTTTGGAATCCCATTAATCGCTTGTTTGGTGATTCTGACTGTACTTTATATCTTGCTCTGTTTGTAGGAGGGAATCTCATCCTCCTTTTAGTGTTAGCAAACTGGCTGCATTCAGGGGAACTAGGAACTACCAATCAAGAACAGTTCAACATATGTTTGGGAGGAGTGTTTTTAGAAAGTGCCTGCGTGCTCACCAGTAACATCAGGGGGAAAAATGATGATCAGCTTGAAATGCTAGAAAGGATTCTAGTAGAAAATACGTAAAAGACATACAAAAGAAATATATTTGCCTAGATTAATAAAACACAGTCCATATATGATGAACACATAAAGCTGCACAGTGCCCTCTCTGTCCTTTTGCAGACATGGAGGTGGATACCATTGTAACCATCGATGATAATGAGCTTTTTAAAAGTAGCTGATTTTCTCTGGCCTTTTCCCATGTCATGCTGTCTGTGCCAGTGCTGCAGCAGAGGGTGGTACAGTGGCCTTCCCTGGCCATCCTGGCACCCAGCACCTGCTGGAGCAGGAGGTGAACCTCTCTCCCTCGCCCTCCTCTCTGCCTCACTGCAGAGGTGACTTGGCCAAAAGGGAGAATTTTTCCTCCTGTCCAAGTGTGGACAAAGGGGTAAAAAGAAAGAGAGAAAAGACAAAGAGTAAAGGGAGGGAAGGAAGGAAGGAAGGAAGGAAGGAAGGAAGGAAGGAAGGAAGGAAGGAAGGAAAGGAAAGAGAAAGGAAGGACACAAACCATACTTATTGCATTTGTTAATTTAAAATTAATATTTTTACTTGATTAGGTGGAGACAGAGAGAGACAGAAAGAGACTTACAAACCTGTAGGAAGGTGCTACATATATTCATTTCCAAATTTATTTCACAGGCTAGCTCTTGGAGAGGTTACAAAGTCCTTCCTTTCACAGAATACCTGAGCCCCTCAGGAGCAGTGTCCTGCCTGTCCGACAGCCTCAGTCAGATTCAGCACAAGTGAAAGCCAAGCTTCTCCTCAGGGTTCAGGTGCCCTACAGTGGCAGAACCTTCCAGGGGGGCCAGATTTCAGCCTTCGATGGAGGTGACTCCCAGAATCACCGTGGTGAGCTGGTTGGAACCTGTGCACGTTTGGTGCTGGTACCTCAGGCCCCAGAATTTGGCACACAGAGCAGCCAAGCAGAGTCACTGCTGTCCCTCGACCTTTAAACTGCCTTGGAAGACTGAGAGACTGGGAAATGAGCCTGCACTGCTACAGAGCAGGGCTCACTGACAGCTCCCAAGCCTTGGTTTCCTACAAGTCCCCACTCAGTGTTACGTATGACAACACTTTTGTCCCAAGCTACTGAGTTATGTGCTTCACTTTTTGTGTTTTGCTACATTTAGTGCAGAGATGGTCAAAAAAAAAAATCTTTCAAGTTTTTGCAGCAAATGTCAGCATTTGAATACTGTGTTTGTTTCAAAATGTTTGAAACAGACGTGTTTTTATAAGAAATGTATGCATTTATTTCTGAAAGCACTATTAAATGAGTGATTACCTATATGTGATGTATCAGAATTACAATTTTGCTAAAAAATACACATTTAATAGCATGGAAAAAGGCACATTTTTTCCCCAGTGTTAACTTCTTTTGAGCCATTTTTTCCATGGGGAAAAATGTTATGTTAAAAATTAGGATCACTTCTAACTTTGTCCTAGGCAGTCACAACACGTAACTTTTCCCCCTCTCCTCAGGGTTTTAAGTCTCTCTCTCTTGTCTCTTTTCTATATTTATGCTCTAGAGCTAAGTGCATCCCTCTGCCTGCCCTCACTCTGCAGTCCTGGTGAGGCAAGACTGAAGTCACAGCCCGTGGGTGGTGGTGGCTCTTCTACATGACAGAACATTTCTGCTCGGCCGCCTGCTTCATTTCAGTAAAGGTGGCTTGTGCCTTCTCTTTGATCTGATCCATGTCCATGTTCTGGATGTTCTGCAGCTGGCCCAGGATGGAGTCCTTGTCCTCTTCCTCCTCCTGATCTTGTGCCACCATCTTCTGCAGGTCTTCTGGCAAACCCACGTCATCTCCAGCCATCTGTATTTGATTCTCATCCAGTTCACTCTGATACAAAAAGCAGGAAATAAAAACAGCACATGAGAGTATTTCTGCTCCCCCAGGATCTACGGATGAGTCTCTTTTTTGTTCATTTGTTTGTTTTTTTAGGGAGAACCAAAACAGATAGCACAGATTTTTCAGTCAAAGTTTTTGGGTGCAACTTGTGAATTCAGGGGCTCAATCAGCTTCCATGCAAGTCCTGAGATTTTTCAGACAATGTCTACTGTATTTTTTGAAGGGCTTCAGCACAGTCAAAACTGAAGCCCTCAGTGTCACTTGCCATTTTAGAAATCTCTGACATATGTGTTGGCCGTGGTAACCTGCTGATCCTGCAGGAATTCCATTCCAACTTATTTGTGTCCACCAAAATCCTGCTGCAGTACACTGCTGAGTCTGCCTGTCAGCTTCTGGTCAATGAAGCAATGGCTCTAGAAAAACTGGAGGGCTACCATTGCCCTGGGGTTGGTGGGGATTTTCAGGTATCAGCACTAAACTGAAGCCTTCCAGAGGAAAGGCTTGATGCATGATGCATGAAACTTAGGAAGGAATTAAAGGTGATTAAAGGTAAAAGGGTCCTCATCTTCCAGAACCACGTCTAAACTCTGCCTGGGTCTTTGGTTGGCCTCTCTGAGTTGTGCTGAAGGGCAGGGGCTGCCTGGCACATAATCAAAGCAGTGTTGCAGCGCTGGTAAGTGGGGTAATAGGAGGACTTGGACAACAAAAGAGAGGATAGAGGTTGGGTGTGAGTCTGAGAAAGCAAAAGGAGACAGGAGAAGGAACTGGTTAAGCAATTAAAAGGGCTGAGATGCAGTAAGCACTACACACACTTGCTTCCTGCCTGCCCCCTGAAACGCTCCATCAGTGGGGCTACGGCAATTTTTCAAACAATGGTGATTTTGTTCACATTTTGTGGTGGATTCTGATGGATCCAGTGCTCAGAAGAACAGGATATTTTGACACAGTTCACACATCAAAGATAAGCATTAATGCCTCATTACATCTCCAAAATGAAGCATGACAGCAGCAAAGGCCTGATATGAATAAGCAGCAATGCTATCAGCAGGAGGTGTTTTTGAGAGTGAGGGGTCTGGGGTTTGCATGAATGAGTGCAAGAATGAATGGAAGGATGTACATGAGCAATGTGTCAGCTCAGGCCTTAGCCAGGACAAGCAGACGGGGGTGATCGACTGCACAGGCACTATTTACTGTTATGTGTTTGTCCAGCTTTATGTTTGCAATAACTCCCTTTAACCTGATTTCTCCCCATATCTCCTATGAAATTATGGAGAGCTCTATCAGGATTGGTACTCCTATGTGGCTAAAATGGATGAGGCCATCTCTTCATCCCTTTGGATGAGGGTTGCTGCTGTCAGATCTGTGGGAGCATGAAACAATATCCCAATCAGCAGAGTTTTCCTTTATTGATTGTGTACCAGGAAAAAATGTGTTAAGCTTTTAATCAGCAAGTGCTGGCTATGAGAAGAGTTAGCCCTTTGGAAATCCTCCCAAGTAGCAGTAGAGGATGATAAAAAAAGATACAGTTCTAATTACTGAGAAGTGCCCCTAAGCAGACAATCACACATGTTCTTTTCTTTAGAACTATTTATGATTTAAGACATCATCACTGCACATTACTGTAGTGATTTCACATCTTTGGCAATGTGAACAGTTGTCTGGCATGTTTTTGCACCAAAGCCCACTGTCCTACTTAAGTCTGAGATGTGATGCCCAGCAGCTTGGAGGTTCAAAGTGTTCTCTGGCCAAAGAAGAACATATTCAGATATGGTCTAAAGCAGTACAGTTCTGCCCAGGTCACCTGCCTCTACCCACTTGGCACTGAGCTTGTCCTTGAGCAGTCCTAGAATGAGCTTCAGCAGAGTGGGTTACTCAACAAGAAGCAAAGAAGCACATTAATACATGTATGGTCTTTCTTCTAAAATGTGACAGATTTGATTATTGTTTCCTTTGATTTGGAATGGACACGTAGGATTAAGTTTCTGATTTTATCTTTGGGGGGTTTTTCAAGTCTTATGAAGAAAAGTTAAAGCTTGCTTTCTCATAAGGAGAGATTTTCCCAGGGCCAGACATGGCTCTGACAGTGACAGAGACACTGCCCTGCATCGGAATACACAGAGAGCACCCAAAATAGGGAGAGCTCCTGGGCAGAGAGCCGTGGGCTCCAGTCAGCCCATACAGACAAGCCCTGGGGGCCCTGGCAAACTGCACTGGACTGGGTGGTGTCTCTCCTGATGCCTTTAATCTTCACAGGCTCCAGGTCTCTGCAGGTGTTCAGCCACCCTTATAGGATCTTTGAGAACAGAGGTGCAATATCTGTTCTAGGAAATGAAATGGGCCTGGCACTGGTGTCTTGCCCCAAGGCCAGCTGGACTGGCAAACCCCCTGAGATGCCACTGAACTCTCTCACCCTCCCAAACAGGGTGGTCCCATCTAACTGCCGAGTGGGAATGCCTGTCCTAACTCCCAAACTGGCCCGGGGAACTGCTTGGGAGAGTGCCCAGGCCAAAACTGGGTCAGACATTATTCTGACAATTCAGCAGCATAGGCAATAGATAATATTTTTTGACCCTGATTATGCATCTGATGTAGTCAGTCTCAGATTTTGTTTTGTTATAGATGCAGAGTTCTTCACATATACATGATACACAGGTAGGTGTGAGGGGAAAACAGTCCAAATTGCTGCTTTATTACAATTTGATTTTCAAGTCCTCTGTCCAAATTGAGGTGCAAATGAGACCAAATGCCAGTCCAGCAATACCAACTTTATTTTGTAGCATTGCATGTATGGGGAAAGGAGACGAGTAGGTACAGGAAGCCACAGGTGGAACCAGCAGCCTTATCCCTCACAAACACTCTCTTGTGCCATCCCCACCCAGGGACAGTCTGGAGCAGAGATGGAGTGAGGGGACTCCTGCCTCCTGCCATCGGGACTGCATTTATCCACAGCTCAGCAGCAGCTCAGGGCTCTGTGTTGGATCCCAGCGCAGGAAAAAGGCAGTAAGTGCATAAGAGAGTTTGGTGGGTTGGTTTGTTTGTTTGCTTGCTTGGGTTTTAAATAAAAATATTAATTTCTGTATTTATATAATTTTTTTAAAAATGTGGTTTGCTACGAATGTCACGCGTTGAATACTCCAAAGATGAAAAAGTTGCCCGTAGATCAAATGTCTCATGGCTAAAAACATCTTTCTGATGACAAATCTAAGTTGACAACTCTGTTAATAGGATTAGGTTCATTAAGGGTCTACTTTCTCTTATAAATCTGGCCCAGATAGCATGGAGCTTTAGATTTTACACTGCAAAGGGGGCCCTGCTTAGTCCTGAATTTCATGCATTCATTTCCAATGTGTGCTAATGATCGATACTGGTAATATCCAGGGTTTCTAGCCCATACCAGGCTATCTGAAATGACTTTCAGTTTTCAAAATAAGTAATGCATTATCATAAGTGAGAGCATTTTGCTGCCAGAATGCTGTATCACAGAGCTGAATTGTTTTCCAGGGGCATATAGCGTCCATGTAATAATTTCATTTTCTTCCTGATATAATGTACGTTTTCATAAGGGCTGATAAAAACCAAGAAATGCTATATGGGGAGAAACAAATGCAGAAACAGCACATCCTGCAATATTATGTGCTGGCTTAGAGCTACTCTTCTACCTTGGAGGCAAGTCTTCTAGTGTTATCACTGGAATTTGTCCCCAGAGAGCACTCAGTTCCTAGCAAAGCCAAGATCCTGCTGGAGCTGGGGCAGGTCACCACTGCGTGCTCCTGGGTTTAGGAGGTGCTCAGCCCTGGGGGTCTGTGGGCACCTCAACACCATCTCAGCTGAAAAAAGCACCACAGGTGGGAGCCTTTCAAAATCACAGACACCCAGCTCTGCTGATGTTCAGTTGAGAGCTGAGCACTTCAGGATCCCGAAGCTTTCCAAACAGGCCCCTCTTGCATTTGAAAACCGTGGCGAGGGGACAGGTAAGTGCTGCCCAATAGCCATCTCAGCATATGCCTCCAAAAGGGCAACAAAGCCTAATGATATTTTACTACTCAGCTGCTAATTAAAATACTGGTGTTTAGAGATTTAGGCCTACAATCCAATCAACCACTTAAAATCTTGTACTTAATTTTTTTTGCATAATTAATCTTTCTGTAATTAAACTCACCCTCAGGATGTTTTCCAGCTACTGCATTGGAAGAAATGGGCTCTTAAGGGTGGAATACATTTTACCTGACTTCAGCTGTCACCTGGCCTCCCTCTGCAAGAGGCATATGGCACTGGGAGGTGACCCAACTCCACCTGAAATGCTTATTTGAAAGTTGGGATAGGTGAGGCTAGAAGTGCTGCTCTTTCTGTTGATGACAGAGTCCCTAAATGACTTGCTTGGGTTAAGCACCAAATTTTTTAGCAGTTAAATTTAACATGAGATGGATTCTTTAGTAGAGAGTGATCCTTGTTTGTATCCGAGTGTTTTTATGTCAGGAAAAAGCTAGCAATCTGAATGCTGTCTGTGGCTTCTGTCACGATCCAGAAGCTATTGCAGCTGCTGCCTGCTTTTAACAAACCACAGTTCTCTGTTGCTTGAAGCTCTTGCTTTCTGTATTTTGCTTTTCCTGGGAATATTTGACAAACAGAATCAGGAGCACTAAAGAAAAAGGAATGGGCAGTTTGCTTTTGCTCTTCTTGGGGGAAGACAGTACAAATGAACCTTCAGAAGTTTAGCAGAACTCAAATGTAGACCTTGTACAGGAGTTTTCAGGGACTTTGCTTATGTGCTTATAGGGGGTTTTTTCAGCTCTTGAATGCTGCCAAGTTAAGAGCATATACTAATGGTGAGGAGAGGTCAGACCAGATCCTCCACTTGCCTAGTCACCTGTTTCAGATCTGAAGGGATAGAGAGGGATTACAAGAACCTTTCTATTAGATTCATCTGATAGAAAAAAGGTCTAACGAAGCACTCCCTAGGGAAATGCATGGCTCTGGCCTTCTCCATGTCTGCCCTGGGCTGCAGGGGGGATCCCAGGCAGCTTTGCCATTTTCAGGCTAATGCATTGGCAGTGAGTGTGGTTTCAAATCAGCCACTGAGGGAGCTGAGCTCACGAGCCCCAGGCTTACCTTAGGGAGTCTGTACTTCTCTCTCAGGTGAACCCTCAGACAGGCTCGCTCTGCTTTTTTCTGTGCAAATGCTGCATCTCTTTCCATCCTGGAAACCAGAAAAAATGTTCCTTCAAGATGCTAATAAAATACAGTCTTTCACACTGAACAAGGTGCCTGGCTGCAAAAAGCTGCACACAGGAGTTATTCCCCAAAGCTATGTAACTTGTCCAAAGGCACAAGAGGAGCAATGCCAGTAAAGTGATGCAAAGGGGTCAGACTTGCAGTGCTCCAGGCTTGTCCTCAGAACAGTTCCCTTGAGTCCTGTGAATAAGGAAGGATGAACTAATACTCTTTGTCTGGAGTTTGTACCTGTACTACCTGTTATTGCTGACTATAAGGATGAACAATTCCAATGAGCAGAACACAAAAATTGCCCTTATTCCTTGGTAATTCCACTGGGGCACTCAGAGCCGTGGCTGCCTGCCAGTGCTCATGCTCTACAAACATGACACTCTCTTAGTATGACACCACACAGAAGGGCAGGGGAGTCTTTCTGGGTCAGAATATGAGTTTAGCCATCCTGGAGTCCCTTCTCCCACAGGAAACAGGAGTGGACACGTAGAGAAAGGATTTAGGAGGAGTATAAGCATCCTGCATCAGAACTGCCCAGCTTCCAGACTCAGTGGTGCAGAGTCCTGGAGATGGCCACTGGCTCTACATCCTTGGCTGTAACAGCCCTGGGTGGCCTCTGTCACCTGGGAATTTTCCTGGTCTTTTCTTTGTCCATTCACTGTTTCACAATGGCAATAATTTCCTGTGGCAATGAATTCAAAAGGTTCCATGTATGGAAAAAGACTTCATTCGTGATTTTATAAAATGTTTTCACCAGATTTAAGAACTGGTCTGCACAATTTTTTGTTAGATTAATTATGTATTTATTTGCAAAATATGTCTCCTTGAAGATTTTTGGTAACTTTTGATAACATTCACCTTTCCACCTCTCCCTTTAATTTCCCCCCCCCCCAGTAGTAGCATTTTCATGGAAATTCTATTGCAAAATTGGTCTTGTTTCAGTATAGGTACTTTGTCACATAAAAGCTACTTGCAAGATGAAATATTACTTTTCCCCTGCTTCCAAAATGAGGTTTTGGATTTCTCTGTCTCTAAAAATAAAATACCCTCCCCCCCAAAAAAAAACCCCACCCCTCCCCAAACCTAAAATATGAGAAGAACCCAAAGCCAGTTTGGTTATGGGTTCAACAATCTGCCTGAGTGTAACTTCAGCAAGGCACTTCTACTTCTCTGATCTGCACTCCAGCACAGCTGAACAATGTGCAAAATCCAGAGAGCCCTGAAACAGAAACCTCCCCTGCCCATGCCAAAGACCTCTGGCACAGAACCACACCGGTGGGCACTGTCCTGAGGGGATTTGAGCTCTTTAAAAGGTTTCAGGTGTTCCTATTCCAGTTCCTAATGTACTGTCAGGAGTTCTCCTGCCCCGATTCCTCGGTACAGTTCAGCATGTAAAGGACACACACACCACTGGAAAACATTATAGAAATAATGCTTATTGCAGGCACTTCCCTATCCCAGGAACCCTGTGTTGCTTCTCAGTTTCCATAAAGCATCTTCCTGCCAGTAGGTGGTTATTTCTGGTTTAAATATCCCTCGACAGAAGGCACACTAAAACATTCTGTGTTTTATTCCGAGCCAAATGACACCTGTGCAGGGTTTCACGGTGGAAATGGCTGATGCTAAATACAGACCTGGATACCTCGAATTCCGTCAGTCATTAACCTGTCACCTATAATCATCTTACAAGGGGGATTTACACAACCATTATGTAATTGACCATTAGAGGAACAGATGCATTTGAGCTTTAAAAGTCAATCGTTTTATTTATAATTATGCATGGTTTGAACTCCTACAAGCCAAGTCCTCATTTTACTTCTGTTTTCATTTTTAAACACCACACAAATGGTAAAGATTGCATTTACAGACAAAACTGAGATTTAATTAATTCTGCTTTATTTAGCAGGTTTTAGAAGAAATAACCATATTAAAACTCTGCTCTAGATAAATATAATCCATTTAACATAGCACTCAGTACTTTTTCATGTCTGCCATAATAAATGTAGGCAAAGAAATATTATGTATGGAAAGTGTACTCCACATGGAGTTCTAGGAGAAAAAATCACGTGTATTTTAGAATTAAATCCTGCACTACAAAGAGCTTGGAAAATTTGTCTAGATAAAGTAACACCACCTCGAAATGAGTTCAGCACATCAAGCTGTGGAGATGGCAGGGAAGCACAGGGAGGCAGTTGCAGGATGGGGACGGGGGGGCAGGGAGGGGGAAATAATATTTTATCATTTCCAGTAGGTGAACTTTTATTTTGGAAAGTCCTTTTAGCAAAGACTCATCTGCTTTAAAAAAGAGTGAAGAGCTGAACGTTTGCCTTTTTCTTGGGTTATTTTTATCTGCACAAAGTTACCAAGAATCAGCCCCATACAGATAATAAGGGAACAGGTACTCACTTCTCCTCAACCATTTGCTTTTGATATTCCTCATACTCCTCTCTGGTCATTCCTGCAGCTGCTGCTGGGTCAGAAGGGGTGCTTTCTTCTTTGCTTTCTTCCCCTCCACCTCCAAGTCCCAAATTCTTTACCTGGTTGCTCAACATACTTTTCATTAGAAAGGCCATCTTCTCAAAAAAAAAAAAACCAAAACGAGCTATAAGCAAACAACTATGAGAAAGCCAAACCAAAAATGCTTTTAAAACCAACAGTTGTAAGCAAGAGAGTTTCTACAGCCACATCAGCTCTTCAAGGGCACAGTGCTAGTGAAACGTGAATGCCAAAACCAGTTTGTCAGCCATAATCTGGATTAAAGAGTGAACTCCTTAATATCTAGAGGCAGATGGTTCAGATTACTCCAAAAAAATCATTAGATGCAGCTACCTACTTTTTATATTAATACCATAAGCTAATTGTACACACACACACACACACAAATCAATGATAGTGTGCAATAGCATTTTGATGTCTTCAGTCTTGAAGCTCTCTCTCACTTTCACAGAGACCGAAACACTCCCTGGAACACACCACCTCTGAATTACAAACCTGCTTGACTAAAAGGCCGTAGTAAAATCATAAAATTCAGGCTACTGAGTGGAAATACTTTTGTATTTACACAATAAATGGGATTTGAAAACTGAGATCCTTCATTAAGCAAAAAACCTGATGCTTTTTATCCATTAAAACTTTATCCCAGTGGCCAGAAAGTACAGTGAGTGGTTTTTCTTCATCCACTTTTCACATGGTTGGTTTGTCTCACAGACGAATGGGGCGTTACTGCTACGATGCCTTTTTTCCCAAGAGTGTAATCCCCCAAAAAAGCAAATCAGATCTTCCTAATTTTGTTTCCCTTGGGTTTCTGTCAGCTCTTCCCCAGGCTGTCTCCACGTGGATCAGCACTGTGGGTACAAGGGGAGTTTATCTGACTGTTCTGTGTGCTGTAATACAGCCTGGATGCCTCTTGCTTGGGGTTCTCTCTGTAGCTCCTCGTCTTCCAAACTTTTCTTCCCATTATTAGACTGGCCAGGTCTATTCAGGTGAAGCTTTGCAGGATCTGCTCCCTAGGTCACAGACTATTTGGGGAAAGAAAATCACCTGCTAGGTCACAAAAGGTCACGATTTGGGGTTTTGAACATCCTACTATGACTGATTGCACATGCCTTAATGAAACATTCTGTAATTTTGATTATCTAAATGGTTCTCCATGCACTCTCATAATTTCACTGAGAACTGAGAGATGGGAGGATTCCAGTTTGCTTAATGCTTTAATCTATATTACAGCCTTTCTAATTAAAGCAGACCTATTACTATTAAAAAAAAAAAAAAGAGGCAGGATGTTCTCTAATGCTGGATTATTAGTGATTAAACAAGAAACTTTAAGTTTCTTTTTGAAATTGAGTATTACTCAGAAGCATGAATTTCAAATAACAATGAAACTACTTTGGTATACTACAAATACCTTAGAAAGCATTTTTCTTAAAACAAAATGCATTTTTATAACAACTGTGCCCTTTCAGAATTATGCATAAGTTGCAGGACTTTGTGGGCAGAATAAACTTTTGACACGTGACCAGCTCTGCCCTTGGTTACAAAGTGAGCACACTCTGAGAGAAGTTTGAGATAAATACAGTCAGCATTTTCTCTGGGCTGTGACAGGCACGACTAACTGTTCAAATGCTGTCCCCCAGCACCATCACTTAGTGCCAATTGCCTGTTGAGTCCCCTGGCAGTGGCTGGTTCCCCTTTATTGGAAATCCTGCCCCCTGGCACAGGGAGCACCAGGGTGCTGTGCTGGGCACTCTGCAAACACTTCCAGTGGCAGGGCTCAGTCTTCTCCAAGGGGATGGGGAGTGTTACCTCCTAAACTCTGGGCTGCTGGTGCTCACTGAAAAGAACCTTCTCTAACTTGGGCAGATTCAATTCGAGACTCCTCTCCTCCACTTATTAAAAAATTGCTCCTGTCTGGGGGAAAAATGACCAAGAGGGAATTCAGCCTTGGAATGCCACGAACTGCCCAGTGTGAGGCAGGACTGACCCCAGAGCTCTGAGCAGGCAGGCTCTGAACAGAGGGTGAAGAATGCTTCAAAGGCACCTGCTTGGATTTCATGGACATGCACCAAATTAAAAGAAAAAGGCTTACTAAAAATATGCATCTTTATTCAAATAAGGTTATATCTGAACTCCAAGTGTCAATTTACATTAGTCAGAAACAAATATATGAAAATGTCAGCCGTTTGAATTTAAAATAAAAAAACCAAACCAGTAGACAATTCTTCTGTTACAGTAATTGATCCATTGAGAAATGTCAAATTTTCTTCAAATAGCAAGTTACAAACCATAGCAGGTAAACTACAAACTGTAAAACAGGTGATTTACAAACCGTATTGTGCATTTTACTTTTGAAAGATTCAGATGTGACCATGTATTTAATACACCCTGACCAGGACAATCAGATTCTCTTGTCACTGCCAAATATTTGCTACTTATCATCCACAATTCAAATATAATTATTAGACTTGTTCTCCCTTGTACTGTCAAACTGGATTCCAAGTTGTCTTCTCCTCCTAGTTGTGAAATCTTACTTGATAAGAAAAGAACTACACTACCAGTGTTGAAAGAAACTTCTGGTAGCCAGCTTGACTGACAAATATTCTTACAGTCCAAATTTGTTGCTATCACTTCGAGGACAGGCAGGACGAAATTGGAGCTGGGCAACTGGGAGCTTTCTTTAGATCCAGTGAGTGCTGAGGCAATTATGGGAGTCCCAAGGAGAGGCAACTGTGAAATGAAGCATGAAGCAAAGTTATCAGTTGTCTGGTGTTCTGCTCTGGACCACTTGCTCCCTAAAGCAGAAGCTTCCCAGCTGCCCGTGGGAGACGTGTCCGATCCAGCAGCAGCATAAACACATGAGCTGAGCCTCCTACTGAAGGTACAACTGTAGGCTTCAAGTTTCCCCTAGACATGCCCAGCCTTCTCTTCTGTCTGACAAAAGACCCAGAAGGATGGGCTGCTCCAGCTTTAAAACAGGGTTATGGTTGGATAAATTCACAGTAACAAAAATCCAGGCTTTTCCCAATGGACACATCAGAGCTGCTCCTCATTACCCCACGTACAGGCACCCACTTACAAAACACACTGGCAAGCCCCTCTGTCCAAGGGCCTTGCAAAGCCTGCTGTGAGAGGAGCAGCTCTGCTGGGATGTTGCACTGGTGGGAGAAGGCCTGTGATTGAAAGGAACAACACTGTACAGCTTCAGAAAAAGGTAAGAAAATAGATTTAGTTACAAGAGTCAGGGTTGTAATAGCTTAGACTCAAGGCACCTGTAAATATCTGCTGGTGTTGAAAGAACTGAACAGACAAATTCTGATGTGTTACTCTGGCTTCTCTGAAAGGTTTTCTTCTTTGATTTACCCATCTATCCCACAAGACTAGCCTGAGGCAGTAGTTTCTCAATCAGTACAGTAAAATCTTCTCCAATTTCGAAATGAATCTCTAAAGCTACCCCACCTACAGAATACTACATCCTGCAGACCTGTTAACTGGTGTGTGGGCAGGACTGTTTTCTGGGTATAGCACAGGCATTCACTTTTTGGACTCTGTATTTTAAGTAGCAAAATATATTGCATAGATATATCATCCCTCCAAACTGACAGGCACAATACTGAAGTGTTCTTCATTACAGTGAACTTGGCAGCATGTGTTGCACTCCAAGGGAGTAAGTAGACTATAGAAATGCAGTAGTAGTATGTTAGAGAACAGATAATTTTTGCAGATTCAGACAAACAAATTAATAGTTAAAAGTGAAATATTCTGATGCATTTGTGTATTTTATAGAATTTTTAAAATCCACAAAAATACCTATTCTAACTCTACACACAAAACTCAAGGACAAAGTTACCACAGATATGTAAACAAGGCAAAATGATTTAATTTCACATTCCTAAATTTGGCTCTCTGCTTTTTCCTTTCTTGGAGCAAATGTTCATTTGATAAGCAGTATCCAAACCACATGTTCAGCCTTATGCTTTTGATATTAAAGCAGGAATTGACACAAAATACTGGTTCTACAATAGCTCCTGGATTAACAAACATGTCTGAAGCAACACCTTGTGAAGAAATGGTTTAACACCTAATACCTGTACTTTAGAACACTTGCCATGTCCAGATTTAAATCAAAGCATCTGTATTTGATACATGAAAGACACAAGACAGCTTTATAAAAGTAAAGACATATCCATACACTAAACATATCCTTAATAAAATCAGATTTGAAGAGGTATAAAGCAATAATCTTTGCTGGAAAAGTTCCACAAATCTCCAAACAAAATTACAGACAGACTTGAAACTACAAAAAAAAAGAAATCAGGCCCACAGTATACTTGAAGAAACTACTTTATCACATTTTCTCTCACTGCCTAAAACCAAAAGCCAAAATAAGAACATAAGGCTTTCTTTGCTTGTTCTGTATAATTTGTTTTTTTATATCAACAGTCAGAGTCTTTGTGTTCACATATTAAAAAGTGTTTAAATCTGTATTTCATAAAGAGTTAGAATTAACAAAAATATTCTTATACTTTTAAATCCAAGTGGTAAACAAATAAAATGCTTATAATAAATTTTTACTCGCCAAAAAAATTACAGAAGAACGGGGGGGGGTGTTTGTCTTCTTTCCCCCCCCCTTTTTTTTTTAACTGGTATGTCAGAACACTTGGTAGCAAATTGTCTGCACGAATCATCCATCTGCAAATCACACTGTGAACAATCCCCAAACCTTCAATTCCCTCCTCTGGAATCCTAACAAAAGCAGAGGAACTGGGCATTTGCCTTCCAGCATTGATGAGAAAGTTGGCTGAAAACACAGACCTAGACAGGGTCTGCAGTCTTCCCCCATCCAGCATTTGCTCTGCTGCTCCACAGTCTGTTTTTAGCTTTAGCATCAACCATTTAAATAAGAACTCATTTTGTTTAACAAAATTCAATAATTTACAATATTGCCGTGTATCGAACACTAGAATTTCCCTCATTTACAGAAGTGTAGAATTTTCTGTGCATACATACTGCTCTTATGTACACACAAAAGGAACAGGTCATCAAAAGAACTTTTTGGCTGCTGCTTCTTGTTGGCTCC